AACATTATGGGTAAGCAAAGTCTACACTGATTGGTATATCCATAGTCAGAATCTATTTTAGACGAGCACTAATTTGCGCCAAAGAGTGGGACCAAGTCTCACATTTCAAGCAATCATGATCAATCTCCCGTGCTAGATGCAAAGATGAAAAAATCGATGAGTTACTATTACAGAATCGCGGGATTTGTAAGACATAAGCCATGCAGTAATTTCCCTTGCTCTCGAGGTGTTGCAAGTGTAAAAAAAGCTGCAGGAAATAAAAGAACCACTTGCTTCTTTTGTCCTTTATCATGGACGAACACGCGTTAGAACTTGCAGGATAGTGGATTTGGAAATATGAATCTTTTCTGTAACGTCTAAGGATTCCTAACATTTTAATCATTATCTGTTTTAGTTGATATGTAGCAGACTTGCAATAAGATACCGCCTTTTAACGAAAGTTGAACGAGCTGCTAGGAGCATTAAAAAGGACTGTGCAACAAGTGCAGGCATGTAAGTGTTGCGCTTTGTTAGCATAATTCGCATTCCATGACTGATTAGTTTGTAGTCCACACACAAGAGGTGCGGGCGGTAAGCTACATAAGACATAACAAGCAAGGTTCCGCTTATTGATATATAAAGGCGCGCTTACTAGAAAAGGAAAAGCGGCCAGGAACCCCGAATGAATGGGGGAAGTGAAAAGGATGTTCAAACCTGCAAATCAAATAAATTTACAAACTTTAGTCATTATCTTATATGCAACGCAGATCAATTAGGCTTTGGCCATACTTTGCCCGTGTTGCCGATGTTACCAGTGTTACCGGTGTTGCCGATGTTTCCAGTGTTACCGGTGTTGCCGATGTTTCCAGTGTTACTCGTGTTGCCGATATTTCTAGTGTTACTCGTGTTACCACCTTTATTGCTGTTGATTTTCGAAATGATCGCCAGTACAGTTTCATTCTTGAACGTAGTCTTACTGAGTGGTGAGTATGCAGGACCTGAGGCGATCATACTGCAATAATAATACCATGCTAGAAACCTGCTTCGAAAAAGTTCTTTTTCTTTTTTCTTTCAGTTTTTTTAGTTTCAGTTTCAAATTTTTTTTTCAAAAAAGGGGATGTGCTCCCTTCTCACATACGGCCGCGAAAATGATGACACGTCCGAAGACGAGGTTTCTTGAAGTTCGATCAAGGCGTCCAAAACGTTAGCCAGTACGTTAGAGCTCATTGTGCTACAAATCAAACAATATGATTATATTTGTGTCATAAAAACTTCTTGAAGCAGGTTTCTAGCATGGGATTATTATTGCAGTATGATCGCCTCAGGTCCTGTATACTCACCACTCAGTGAGACTGCGTTCAAGAATGAAACTGTACTGGCACTAATCATGTGATCATTTCGAGAATCAACAGCAATAAAGGTGGTAACACGAGTAACACTGGAAACATCGGCAACACGAGTAACACTGGAAACATCGGCAACACCGGTAACACTTGTAACATCGGCAACACGGGCAAAGTATGGCCAAAGCCTTATACAGAGTTTGGAACGGCGTAAAACTTAGCCGACCTGAAACAAGAGGATTTAGAAATGGATGACTACGAAGAGATACCAGGTGACGGAACTGTGACCATAGAGGGAAGAGAAGGAGGATGATGATAACGATGAAGAAGATATTATGCAAAAGACGAAAATGTAGAAAATAGCGTAAACGACAGCGCTGGGCCTTTTTCTCGTTCTACGTTTCCATACATTTTTGCTACACACACAAACAAACGCACATACACAGATGCCTTCATTGCAATATGCGATAAAACGACAACACATGTCAAGTCCGCACTTCATCCAGAAATAGAGTAGTAGAAGTATTGGCGTCGTTTATTTTGCTGTAACATGAAACTCAAAAAAATTATTAGAAATTCGCGAATTAATGACACTTGCAGGGCCTTAATGGAACATAGTTCTAAGTTGTTTCATGCTGTTATTATCCCTACGCGCCACCCATATTCCAAATTTTTTAAAAAATCTTTGCAGCGTCCACCAAAATGGAAAGAATGAATTAGCCGCAAGCAAACTTTGGACTAGCTTAGTCTGCCTAAAAAATTTCTAAGCTATAAATTTCCGAGTATACATTAGACTACAAGGTTCACATTTATAGCTCACACCCGAAATTATCAAATTTATGAAAAAGTGAGCAAAAATATCTCTCTCATTGAGAAACCTATTCGACATTAATTTTGAAGGATTCCAAGCCTCATTAATGTTTCTAAAACATCCTTATTTGCATCCGTTTATCTCCTCTCTCGACTCTTACCATTTTTCTAGAAAATTGAGTTTCGCAATGTTCGAGGTCTTTCAGAAACTCAGAAAGCTCAGTTTATACTTTTGCAATTATTTAAAAATCCAAGCAAAGTGCCATCACACCTTAAAAAGTTTTTTCATGTCCTCCAGAGATTTTTCTTCTTTTCTAACTTTCGAACTCGTTCTCATAAATCTTCTATAGAATTTCATCAGACGCTACCCATTTCCATGCTCCACTATCTTTGTAACATGAAACGATGAGCAGATCGGTTGTCGTTCGATGCAGTTATTTCTCCTCTTTCTAATGGGTGTTTTCTGTTTCCGACTAGCGAAATCTTTGGAATAAAACCATTACAACTCTTGATTTCGAACGCGCCACTACTCAAAAATTCGAAATTCATTATTTCGGATCCGTAAACTCGAATTTGCTCCACAAAATCAGTGGTGAATCATAATTATCTTAGATCAAATTCCGGAGCTTTTCTGGTGTTTAATGCGTTTGTGTCTGACGTGGGTTTGCTAAGAACCGGTGCTTTAAGTAAGAAAAAATTCTAAACAAAATTATGGCAAGCTAAGGGAAGGGGGCTAAAGTTGTACTGTAACTGAAGGAAGGCTGGTGTCTAGTGGTATATTGAGGTTTTGACCTCCATAACTGGGCCCACGAACAGATTGAAAAGAAGAAATCTTATCCGTATGGCAAAACGAAGACCAACGGCTCCAAGGCCAACAACGAACAAAACAACGAGAAAAAACACAAAATTAGGGGAAATGTCCCAATTTGACCCTCTAGCAGGCCTTCGCACGGTTATGTCTGGATCAATTCTCGGTGAGTTCTCACGTGAGGAGGTCTGGTTCTCTCCTAACCAGTTTTCGACTCCCACGAGCCTCTTCTTCTCGATGCTTTCCGTTTTCTTCCCCTTTTTATGCCTTCCCCTTTTTCTTCCCTTTTTTGAAGAGAGGCAAACCACTTCTTCTTCCCGCCAGCTCTGTATTGATGATCTCCAGTCGCATCTTCCAACATCCCTCCCCTCCGAGGAGCCGTCGACCTCGGCGCGGTGGGAGTTCTTAAAATTTTGCGCCGGGTGCTCGCATCCTGATGGCTTCATATAGGTGTCTGGTATTCGTTATTGCGCAGTAAGTGTCGTAAAACTGAAATAAATTTTCAGGCGGGCTTGTATCTATCCATACCCTACCATTTTCAACAGGGTAGACGCTAAAAGATATAACTGGTCCGGGCTGGCAAATTCTTCCAAGGTGGCGTCGATTATAGTCCACAGTTCTGCCATGACTTTCCGTATGTGTACCTCGGACATTCTATTCGTGGTCAGACTGATATCAGTTTTCCTTCTTCTTCGATTCTTCCAAGATGTTTTTTGCAGGCCAACATGATATCCGTGATCGCTTCTTCTTCTTTCCGCCTAACCATCGGCCACACGATGACCCACGTTTGACAGTGTTTTAGTCCTTGCAAGGCATTCTTGAGTTGGCCGAACTGCATGACTTTTAGTAATCACTCCTCCTCGCCGGCTTAGCCCTCATGTGATTGAGGGCTAGCGTCTAGAGATCTCCAATCGCTTCCAACAGTACTGTTTGCTGTAGATTTTCCTTGGAATTCTTTGGAGAGTTGGCATAAAGATTCAGAACAATGGCAAAGCTTCTCGAAAAAGCATGCCTCGCAGAGGTTGACTTTCAGGAGCCCCTTGACTGTGCCGCATTGAAATTGTAAGTAATTGAAAAGGGTGAAACGATGCATTGAATAGTACAAAATCTCCCAAAAACCTTTGTTACGCGAACTGTGGCGCCCGTCTAAAAAATGCGAAACTACTTTCGGGTGGACCTAATATTTTTACGCCACTTTTTAGATAGCCGTGAGGCGCTCGAACTGTGTCAAAATGTCGCTACTTTTTAGATGACATTAGTGGTTTTAAACGTTGGAAACTCTGATCCGCCTTGACAGACAAATGCAACGAATCCTGACGGGAGAATTTGAAACGATCTGTGGCTCGACTAATTGGTTGAGTTTGAGCCATATTACTATACCCAGCCGCACCTCCTCGTTACGTTGAGGCAGCAGACCATGAAGGGCAGTGAAGATATGTAGATTAGTTTGTGGGTGTTACTGCTTACAGTAAATCTACACTGCGCAAAAATACCAAATGCAGATGAAGCCGATCAAGCAAGGATCTACTTCCTTCTTACTACTTCAATGCTTTTATCTCAGAAGTTAAAAATTAAGAACTGATCAATCTGTTTTTTTAGTAAACTCCATTCTGTCTTTTGGGTATTATGACGTCGATTGCTGCCACGAGTGCCGTTTTGATTTTTCAGATAGTAAGCTTCTATGGCCATAATGGAACAACAGATGGGAAGAAAACGACGCGCTGTTTCCCTCAGTTTTCCAAAAAAGCTAGATAGAACTCTTTACGGTAACATAGCCACGACAGGACGTGCCAATATGAAGACACTGGTGAATTAAAAGTGGAAACGTTGTTTACACAACGAATGAAAGATACAAAGAATAAACTTTTACGGTTGGAGTAATCTTCTTTTTAGCAATTTTAGTTCAATGTGTTCTCCGCTAAATTGCGCAAGGAGGATTTTTTGCTCGGTCTGATATTAAACATAGCTGCTGACAAATGACTGACTTTGTTGCAGAGTGAAGGTACTTAGAGAATACCACATTCTCTTAGCAAAGTATTTGACTATGAATTTCTCCGAAAACACACTGCACAATGCTTTATTTTATCTTATCACAAGAAGAAACAGGCAATGAGGAAAAGTGCTCGTTTCATTCAGAATGGTTCCTGAGATGCCTCAGATGAAGGAACACTTTCTTTGGCATGTCCATTTGTCACCTTTGCACTTCTTCATACATTCCATGCTGAAAACACAACATTTTTGTTGCGCATTGAAACAACGTAATTTCAGCCTTACAAGCGACGCGCTTCTTCTGGCGAGAGGGTACTAGCATTCGTTAGCCCTAAGTAACAAGCTGCCAGGAAGAAAAAGAAAAACAGGAAGTTCATTGTTGTTTTCAGCAATATAAGTGTGCTCTGAAAAATTCTGATTAATTTTTGGGTTTGTTTATACTGGTACACAAGAGAAAAGCGACAGCACAGCGTTTATGACTGATTGATTCTCCTTTGCAAAACATGGATATACTGAAAAAGTTGGATTGAAGCGAACTTGCGATTAGAAAGTTAAGAAAAGTTCGATGAAAGATGCACTGCGTTTGTAAAGAATATGTTGATGTAGTGTGTTATGCTCATAATTCAAATAATCCACTGAAGTGGTAGGATTCGTAATAATGAACAGTGTTTTTTCTCTTTTGTGCAGATTGTCTCCTTTCTTCGATATCAAAGAACATAATGCCTGGACAAGAGCAAAAGCTTTTTATCATGTAAGCGAGCATGAAAAAATTTTACTCGCAAAATGAAACTCCCGTAAGTTCTCGAAAAACTCATTTAGACTATCATACTTCGGTCATCAATGGCCATCAGGAAGGTACAAGTACCGTGATTGAAGGTGGCACTTCTAAGCGGAGTAGCCTATCTCGAAAAGTAGCCCATGAACGCCTCCCAGATACACGGTTGTCTCAAAAATAGGCCTGTTCCTATAGGATGGTGACAGGACAATTATAGCTGAAGAGCTCATATGTAAATTCTGTGCGCCTATCACGGCTGCTTTGATGATTTTGAGTAATGATTTCGGAACGCTATATGTGATAAAAAATTTCTTTAAAAAAGTGTGAAATAGTGACCAGTTTGCATTCAAATATGCTCCATTTTCTGATTCAGTAAATTTGAGCTTTTCTCTCTTTGGCAAAGTGAGCCAAATGTTTCAACATGCAAAGGACGTTTTATGATATCTCGCGCATCTTTTGCGAGAAAACTTGGTGCAAGTTTGATTGCTAGTAATATTTGCGCATATAGCAGAATTTGAGTGCAATTGCAAATTTGCTGTCGTCGAACTCCCCATTTAGCCACTCTATACTGAAACTGAAACGATTCTTTTTGTTTCATGAATATGGGCAGTAGATTTTTCGTCGTCAGAAAGGCTTTTTTATGCAATTAGACAGGCTTTGTTTGATACCATTATAATCAAAAGTAAGATCTGAAAGAGTTTCTTTGTTCTTTATAACCTCAGAAAAAGTGTTGGAAATCAAAAAAAAACAAGAGGCCTTGTACTTTTAAATAGCTTTATATTCAGGTGAGCTTTTTCGCATCGCAATGAAAAGCGCAAACTCTAGACTTTCTGTAAAGATTTTTTTCGTACGCGCAAAGTTTTATTTCGTGAAGAGCACTGAATGCGATTTGCATCTTGTAAGAAAAAAGCATTAAAAAAATCTTTCATAGCTTTAGTCTCTCATGCTTAGGATCAAAGGCAATTGTAGCCTTATTGCATAAGTGAAAGTTTAGAATCAGTTCCAGAATTGCTATTGCAAAAGCTACTTTCTATTAAAACCAAGGGAACATAAGGAAAAGAGAATAATTAGGTGACTGTCGGATTCAGCTTCAGGTGGTATATATATATTTCTGTGGCAATGGCATTTGTGACGTACTCGGAAAAAAAGTTCGGATTATAATAGATTTTGTACGCTTCAAAGCTAAAAAAAACTCAAGTTAAGCTGCTTAAAAGTGACACCAAACCATTGCGTCATTATTCTTCTTATTTTCTTTGGCCAATTCGAAGCTTAAGATAGATAAATCCGTTTGTTTTCTCTGCACCGTGCACAGAAAAGTTCTCTATCTTGCTCTACTCCGAATTTTTTGTTACAGATGCTGCTAAATCTCCTTTATATACCAAAGTGTGCCTACGTTCTCCAACCAACTCTTGACTATTGGTAAAAATGCTTTTATCGAAGAGAGACCTACCTTTCAAAATAAGATGATTAGTCAATCGAGCAATCGGAAAACGCCTATTTGTGTGCTTACTCATTTACATGGCAGGTTGTTCAGGGCTGTTAAATCCTTAGCCTTTTTATTCGGGAATTTGTTACAGCAAGTGACGCGCAGTTCTCATATCGCTACAGTCTTTGATTTATTCGTGCTAATGGGGGCGAGGATTTGAGCTGCAATGAAAAATTTGAAACACGTTTTGGTTTTCATAGCTGCAAATTCTGAGAGGCATCAAAGAAATCACCATTACCATCATTCTTTCCAACTCAATGTGCCATCATTTTATATCACAAATTCATATTAATAGAACAATCAATTTACTTAACTAACCAACCAAAGCAATGTGGGATATAATAGCAAATTTAGGGAATAGGCAAGGCATATTAATAAAATCACTTTTGAAGTATGAAGATTTGTACAAATTTGATAAATTTGATAATAATTCAAATAATTCAAATAAATCAAATAATAATAATAATAATATAATAAATAATAATATAATTAATAATATAATAATATAATTAATAATAAAATAATAATAATATAATAATAATAAATAATAATATAATTCAAATTTGTACAATTTTTTTACAATTTACTATTATTATTATTAATTTACTATTTATATTACATTTTTATTTTTTTACAATTTTTTACTTTAATAATATAATTCAAATTTGTACAATTTTTTTACAATTTACACATTTGCACAGTAAGAAGAGTGTTTCTGATCTTAGAAGACCACTGAAGCATTGAATATACACAAAGCAATAGTATGAAAGTTGTCATCACATCAAAATTTTCACTTTGTGCAAAACCTTGTGTAGCGCTTTGATGTGGCAGGCGTTGCCAAGCACAAGCAATACAATATAATCTCTAAACTTTTTGAGATACACTTAGGCTGCGTTCATACTCATTTTATGTTCCGGAACAGTTCCAGCACAGCGCTCGAGTTGTGCGCTGTGCTGGAACAGCTCCGGAATTTACCGGTCAGTATGAACCCACCCTTATGAGACTATAATGCACCAAGTTAGCAAGAGTTGTGGAATTATCCGATTTCGCGGAAATACAAAACATACGAGAACATACAAACATAAACATATACGGAAAAAACATAGGCAAAGCATGCAAACATATTTACCTTTGAGATGTGAAACGATGATTGCGATAAAGATAATTTGAATTATTTGATTTCTGGCTCTCACTCTGTTTATCTCTGAGAATTTCCTAGTTAGTTTGGTCTGCAATTGTTAAAAAAAACACGATGAAATCGATTTGAACTGGAAGACATTTTCAGTAATCAGATTTCGTGCTGTTAGGAAAGCTTGCTTGAACGAAAATGAGAGAAAGGACTCTAACATCGTCATGAGAGCTGTCTGCATGCTACGTCTCAAGCCCTCCAGATACTTTGGTTGTGAGCTGGTCTTACAGCTACTAGAGACTATGATAATAACTTTGCTTGAATTTATAAATTGAAGTTCATTTGGCAAGTCAAATATTTACAAGGGAAGGAAGGTTGGTCGAAGTGGCCTTTTGAAATGAGATGTATACTGCCTTGTGGAGCTTGGAACGCGGATTCCAAATCTACCTTTGCTAACTGCTGCGGGCACTTGAACGAGGAGTTATGAAGGTTTTTGTGAGTAAAAATCTGAATGCAGGAGTAGGCTAAAATCAGTGTTAACATTTTTTATTGGGCTCAATTGGTAGTCAGGTCACTCGGTGCAACAAATATTCTTGATTCATATATACCAACTCGCTGCTGCCTTTTGAACATTGGGGAAAGCTTACGGCTGATTTTACCCTATTTTTGCATTCAGATTTTTACTCACAAAAACCTTCATAACTCCTCGCCCAGAAACTCGCAGCAGATAGCAAAGGTAGATTTGGAATCAGCGTTCCAAGCTCTACAAGGCAGTATACATCACATTTCAAAAGGGCACTTCGACCAACCTCCTTCCCTTGTTAGATGGTTCTTCTGAAAACGAATTTCTTGATTTGTTAGACTAATTAAGTAGTCAACTTTTTATGAAACTAATGTTTTTTAGCAACGTATTCATGTGAGAATACGGAAGCATCTCTGTTAATGTAAGAATTACCGTATTCAAAAATAGGATTGCCCCAAATTCTGCCTCACTGTGCAAAAAAAGCCTCCTTCGTATGGTAAATGAATTCTTACTCTGACACAGACGCATATGATATCCCTGTTGAGCATCTCAAGCTGAACAGGTGCAAATGATAAAAACTGAGGTTTCGCTCCATTGATAGATGTCCTTTAAGATTTGAACAGTCATTTCCTGAGAAGGTCAGACCACATTTCTCCTTAAATTCGTTCCCTATTACAATAAGTAAATCAATCTCTAGCAATGCTGTTTCTTATCACTGTGTCTGATACGGGTTGTGCCGGCATCATTTTCACTCTGAATTCCTCAAAAACCTTGAATTTCATAGTTTGCACAAATGCTATGATTATTGTCATTTTGCTGCCAAAAAGTATGCAGAATATAAGACTGAAAAATGTCGTAAGCAGAAATTACTTAACATAGGTAATTTTGGGTTTGTACGTTATACAAATATGTTTGAACAATTGATTTGAGGCACTCGACTCAAAGTGAGTGACATAATTTTACAGTATATTAAGGCATTTCTAAAGCAAAATGGTGGCATCAAATGTTGTTGCTAAGTGTTAAGTGCTGCTCAACAAATGCAAGAGACATGTGGGCAACTTTTGGTAGTAAGAAAAAGGACTTTTTATGCTGTTTAATGCAGATGGTCTTTAGACTGCGTTAAAGGAAAAATTTAAGGGTTTAAAGGAAAAATTGCTGTATGTCTCCAAAATTACCGGCACGCGTTTCTTTGAATGCTAGGAGGATTTGAGGAGGACCTCATAATGCACTAGTAAAATTAGAATTTCCTGGCTTTTTCGAAAATCTCAAATTCTTTTAACAGCCGAAGTGTGCACTGCGTGCAGATACAACCAAGAGTTTACGCGATTTTTTTGCCATCGTCAGAGGCTTAAAAGTTGGGTCACAAAATCCGCTCTTAAGCTCCAAACACCTCCTCCAATGGCACACTCGATTCATCTGGTGTAGATGAAAGAGGTCCGGCCACCAGTGTATTACCGATATTGCAGTGCGCAACACTTTAGACGAGCTCATGTGTCTC